TTATTACAATCGCGGTGCGTTGTTTGCACTGTGCGACGTGCGTATCGACGAACATATTATTGAACATATTATTAACGCGTATCTTTCCGCTTGTCTCGCGACATTCATTAATACCGGGAGCGCGTCATAGGACTACAGGCCGCTTCGCGCACGATCCATCGCCCAGTTGAAGGTCTCTCGATTTCTCACGTGCTATTACCTAAGTATCACGTGTTTATCGCGTTGTAAAAACGCATCAATCTGTCGAGTGTATCATTTGGACATTTTGGGGAACCTGTCGCTCCTTCATTTTAATTTCTAATCAGAGTGATTTTATGCGAACGGTGTCGCGTTTCGCCTCGCCTAATTCACGCGGAGAAACATTGTTTTTCATCGGAAAAAGTACAATACTATATCGGCGCAAGAGGTGCCATTAATCGCGCGCGCAATGTATTTTTTTCCGGTCCTGTGAATAATTTTATCGCGCGATTTCAGTCGCGCTCCTTTTCGCGGGTGAACTGAAAAATCGATTCCTCCTCGCCTGGCTTGGTGATCCTCGCGTGTTTCAGTCGACAGTTTCTTTCCTTTGCTCGTTCGTCTCTTACGGTAATGAAACGCCGCGTTAGAGCCACCGCGCAAGACTCTCGTATGGTCACGTAGCGTAACGTAACGTGAGTCAACGCACAAGAAACGTATCGGTTAGAGCCCTCCGCACAAGCTCTCGCATGGTAACGTAACGTAGATCAACGCACAAGAAACGTATAACGCCGTAACGGCCGTAAAACCAATACGTTTCTTGGCTCACGTTACGTTACGCTACGTGACCGTACGAGAGTCTTGTGCGGTGGCTATTAGAAAACGAAGCCTCTAGTTACGCACGTCATGATTTTTTCGACTCGACAATCAGCTTGGTGGACTTCTGATCTTTCGCGCTCTTCGGATCTATCGGTCATATCGCGTAATGGTTTCTAAATCTAAATGCAATCTAAATATACGCAAGGAGGATTGACCCGAACAATCTTTTGGGCCTAACAAACTTACTGACTCGAGTTTACCACTGCGGACACTTATACACCCACATAAACACACAATTCGGAAAGAGATAGTACAAGGAAAAGAATTACGAACCAGGGTTAGAAGTTTTGTGTCAAAAAACTTTAGTAAAAATGAAGACACGGGATAAGGATAAGATTAGTCTTATCCCAAATCTCTTTAAAAGAAATTAGAGGTCCTACTACGTCTCTCGATTCCTCTTTTACTTTATAATCTAATTATTTCCATTTCACTCAGAAGCGTAGATTATTTTTCAGCGTTGTTTTATTATATCACGTTTAATCCTGCGAATCTTATTTCGTCGTGTTGCTTATAAATATCTCCGCCATTCACGTCTTGGAGATTTTTCTTGCGGGGTTTCCTTCTTTTCTGAATTTTCTAGCGCAAATCCAGCATACAAATCGGCTTTTCTTATTTTAATATATGGCCGCGATTGTGAAAGCACGATGGGCGAAAAGGAATTACGAGCCTGTACTGATCGATCGGCATTGGAGTAATACATAGAGACGGACAGTAGGTAGAGAATAGAGATGGAGAGAGAGAAACAAACTGTCCCCGGCTCGTTTCAATGTTGTAAACAACAACGTTGCGCGGGCAGGAGAGAATGTAACGGTCCCCCGGGATTGAGCAATCGTTTCCGTCGAGCCCCGTTCGTTTATGGTGTATCTTGCGTTATGCCAATGGGAATGTAAAATCCTTGGAGCGTTATGGCCGTTACAGACTTCCGCTCGGACAATTTCTCGACGGGCGTGCCGCTCAATTGGATTTAAACGTCGCGCTCGTTTTTTGTACGACGCATCCCGGGAACGTTGCACAGGCGTTTTATCCATTCGCCGACGCGTGAATTTACCTATCTTACCCTCGGCGGTTTCGCGGGATTACATCGCAGCGTCTCGTCTCTCCGAAACGTCCGCGCTCAATTCGCTCCGAAAATCCGAAACGCAACGTAATATCGTTTCGCGTTTTAACATCGTTTTCTTTTTTTAAATATATAAATGCAATTTTGTTTATCTCAGAATTCGATATTTTTCACTCGCGATGAATAACTTGTTTTTCGCTTCTTTTTTTGGTTTTATTTATTTTTTACTTTTCGACGACCGGTTTCCATTTTCAGTTCTCTGACGTCGACGCCGCCGTGTCGACGGACGTCGAAACACGGAGGCGATCTGTTCTCTAATAACGCCCGTTGTGGATGCGTCCGTCAGACGCACATGTCGGCTGTTCCTCGTAACAGGATGCCTTGTACCGCCGCGGCGCTAATTCGGCGATGTGTATTAGAGCACATGAATAGAGACGCTCATTTGATGAATAGAGACGCACACGCGCGAGATGATATCTCCATTATTCCACGATAATGGGTAGCAACGCGGAAAGGCCGACCGAGCGCGCGGATTTCGTGTCAGGATACGCGCGGAAAGCGTACGACTTTCAGCGCGCCGACAACGCAATGACTCACGTGGATGCGCGAGCGATTTTGCACGGCAAGAAATTGGTTCAGATTAGAATACGTGGAAGCTGCGCGGTGATTCGGCGATTTCCATACGCCTCGTCATGAAAAATTTTCCTTTGTACCCTTCGAGCGCGTATCTTTGCCCTTTTCGCGTCCCGGGAGGTTTCTGTAAAGTGGAGACTGCAATTTTTATCGCGATGCTAGCTCGCGGACCCGCTTCCATCTCGTTTCGCTCGTGGCTTTCGATGTGATTGAAATGATGTTATGAAAACGAAATACACCATAAAATTCATAAAACGTACAGAACAAATATCTGCTAATTAAAAATTATTCCTTAAACGTTGAAATGTAGGATATTTAAAAGTTTCCTCTTTACGTTATAAAATTAGTGCTCGTAATGTCACGCACGCCACGCGTAATTACTTAATGTAATAACTTGTAATAGAGGACGTGTTATAACCCGAGGCTTGCAGTGGCAGCTTCTTGGAGAGCACTACTCCAGATGAAATCCGGAGGCGGGGAGATAGTTATTCTAATCAATGCCGCGTGACGAAGGCGTGTGCTATCGCGTGTCGCAACGAGAGGAACGATTAAAGGAACGCGCGTGCAAACGGGGAGCGAGAGAGAGAGAGACCCACGTGCGATTCGCTGGTTTATTTCCTCGCCGCGTCGCGTCGGAGAGTATCCGTTCATTGTTCGCGGCCGATGCTGCTTCTACGCCGCTCCGGGAGGAGGGGCTCCGCGTGTTTACCCGGGCGCACCATCGCCGTCGGGTTTGAGAACGCGAGCGGCCGCGGAATCGGGTGCATTCACGGAACGTGGTCTTGCGGATAACAAAGCTCTCGGACCTGCTCCCCCCCCTTCCACCGCAGGTGAGAACGCGTATACTGAAAGGCAGCCTCTAACCGCTCGCCACAACATCGAGGTGTTTATCGACGAGTCTGATAACGCGTTGCGCAATTAAGAAAATCATTTTTTTTTAATTTTTATCAGAAAATCAATATGATTTTCCTGGACGACGAAATCGCGAATGCAACGGTGTTTGCCTTGTAAAAACAGTGTAATGACAATGACAAGTATGTAATTTTGTTGAAGATTCAACGTTGAAAGGCTGCAAGTGTAATTTTTGGAAAATTACACAATTTAATGTATTATTACGACGAATGCTCTTGCATGCGCTTGAATATTTTAATGACACTGGGTACCCACTGCTGCATACTTTGGTTTCACGACTGACAAAATTCGGCGGGGAGGGGGGGAGAGATATTAAATTAATGATATTTTTATATTCCAACGCGTTGAAAAGCGCTACCGCGTGCGTTTCACGTGCAGGTCGTTGAATAATTTAATCAGGACGGGTTTTATTGCTGCGCCGCGCGCCACAGATTTTACGCGATGATAAAAGTGTACCTCGTAAGTGTATAACGTATACCTACGGAAATCGCAACAACGTGCTACACTGTAAATGCGAGGTTTGAGAAATATTTCGACACCTTTAGGTCGAACGAGATATCTCGATGATTTAATCGCTTGATTCTTTCGCGATGAAAGATCGTTTGTAATTTATATTATATCGTTAAAACGCATCTGTGGCGAAATCTATTTTCGCGATTCGTTTTCGTTCGCGACTGTTGTCGGAAGATCCGCTCTTGCCGTTTTCGTATACACAACAAAGCTTGGCCCGCGTTTGATCTTTCGAGAAAAAATAATAATTCATCTCCAACGAAACGCCGTTTAGATAAGCACTTTCTAATGCACGCCTCGAAAGTTTTGCTCTTACACAAGCGATAAGCGAGCCAGCGACCTCCGCTGGTTTAAACGTTCCCGTTAATGGTGTGTATGATTGTGTGTGTGTATGGTGTGTGAGAGCCTATTGCAATCCTCGTCCTTTTTAAGCGCGTTGTATTCATATACACGAGGTACAAGTCGATATAAATCACGGTTATGTGCGATAAATGAGATTACAATATCTCCAACGATAAACTAAAAGGGCGAGCTTAAAGGTGCCGACGCATACATTTTCCAAGTTTTATTAACTAATTCATAAAGTTTTATACCTCTCTTCTTGTCCATATTTATGCAAATGCAAAAAGTCCGCGCAAAACGGCTGTATTTAAACCGCGTGGCTTATTGATACCGCACAAGTCCAATCCGTGGTTTTGCCATGCAAGCAATCTATCGCGCAAATAAAGAGAGAAAAGTAAAAAAAAAAATAGGCAGAAAAATGATACGGTTTAGCGTTGTGTCCCTGGAATATTCGTGTCGGTTAGATAGTCACGCGCTGGCCGTAACGGTCCACCATAGCTCGGCACAGTTTTGCATCTTCTCTTACCTCTATTTCTATTTTCCGGGTGCATCGTTATGTCGATTACTACGTCGTTTCTTGCCGTCGACGCCCGACAACCCGTGATTTGCCTCTCCCGTCGCACGGAGATACTGCACGCAGCGTAACGCGGCGAGACAGAGACAGAGAAAGAGAGAGAGAACGATTTTCCTTAACTCTTTTGCCTCCAAACAGAATAGAAAGCAAACACGAGGTGACGATTCTAGGAGGACTAAATGAATTCTCCGTTAAGTTCTACGGACCACGAGGGAGTAAGTACTATCTCGTTTTCACATTAATTATAAGCAAGAAATGCGCGCAACGTGAAATTGAATTCTATTCAACTTTGAACTATCGTTTGAATGTAATTTCAATGTTCCTCGTTGCACTGCATTTCTATTACTTTGCGATAAGTTTACTTTTAGTAGTTAGTACGCAATATTTCGGCATTGTTATCTCTGTCGGCGTTATAATTTTCTTAGAATTATACAGTAATTTAATTGAAGTACTATGCAAAATGAAGATTACATTAAAAATCCAGTTTGTTAATATTCAGTTTCGACGGCCAATTTTGCGCATGTGTTTTGAAGCAGGGCAAAAGATCTGATTCAACAATAATGCTCGGTAACGTGCAATTATAATGATTTTTATTATTGCAATTTTATATGGCATTGAACATGCAATGGGCGTTCTTTGACTTGTGTCACGCTCAATTTCATAGTTTCTTACGTATCACCTTGGACTATTATTTTATCATGTCGGAATTCGGAATTAAGGTATATAAAAGTCTGAAAGGATATATAATCCAAATTACTATCTTTACGTCGTAAATCAATAATAATTTAACGAATTTTACGTTTGGCAAAATGCAGTTTACTCAATCCGCATGAACGCTGCAATTTATCACGACGGAGAAGCTTGAAAGTTTCATTACTCGCCACTGTGGGATGGAACAGAATTAAAATGCGGCAAGCGTTCAATACGTTTTCGCTTCGCGCTATGCCAAGGTCCGTGCGCATCTCCCCAGAACCGGAAATACTTGCGCAACCGTTTCGTACTTGCGATTTTCTCGGTTTGCCGGACATGCGTGCGAAGCGTGTTATCGATTGGCACGGCCGCGCTCTCGGCGCGAAAGAAAGTTCCTTGACTCCCCGCTGACGAAAGAGATGCATTCAACTGTCCCTAAGAAACGCTTTCAAGCAGATCGTGCCGAAGATACGGCACGTTAATGACGCGTCTATCCGCTTGCCGCGGATAACGCGCGCAGGTTGTAGACCTGTTTCGCAGATAGGACTCGGAGAAGATTATCCCCGCGGAAGTTTCGAATGCGTTCGAATGAAAATACGAATGTGTTGGGCCGTTAGAAGCAATCTTTAAAACCGACTTCTTACTTCTTGATTTGAAACGTGACCGTGATGCAGTCATCGTAAAATGGAATTGATTAAGCTCGAGGCGAAGTAGGATTATTGTTGTTTGCGAACGAACCTCGCGACTTCGCGTTGTTGGGACGAAACAGATTTACGGAGCCGCGATTTCCGTCGATTTACCGTGTTTCGCTTTGGCAGGTTTCGAATGAAATTCTATAACCGTGTAATGAATTTCGCTTTTCCGCGCGGCGGAGGAAAGCGAGTCGTCGTTCCCAAGGAACGAAAGTTTCTTGAATCTCCGAATCGCGATTCCACCATCGGTAAACGAGTTGAAATCGTGCAACTACCTTCATTCGTAACGCTTTAAATTAAATCGCGTTTCAGATAGTCCTTTGAAACGGCGCAGCTGCATCCGCGGGTATAACTTCATTTGCTTAAGACCAGACCTCGGGACTTACTCTGACGAGATAGGCTATACTTGCGGGCGGAACATTCCGCATGGTAATCTCCGTCTGGATTGCCCGAGCAAATTGTAGAAACGTGATATTCAACACGATCGGATCTGGCATTTGCGTTACCTATCCTTAAAGCTCGCAAAACACGCGCGAATTTGAAAAAAATTATAATAACATTATGCTTACAATTAGAATATTAACATGAACGTTATTTAATCTATTTTTGTGCTAAAATTTTAAAGTTTGCTATTAAATTTGCTATTGAATTTGCATGTGAATCAATAGAAAACGTAGAAAACTTTTAACGTCCAGTTAGAAGGATTCCTACTTCTTTATAAAGGAAAAAAGGGAATGTAGATTATTTTCTGTAAAATTTGCTATTAAATTTGCACGTAGATTGTTATATATCATTAATGTTACAATTTATTTTCTGTATAACAAATAAAAAACGTGCCTTTTAATGTCCATCTGAAAGAATTCCTACTTCTTTGTGAAGAAAAGGAAGGAATGTAGACTGTTTTTCTGTATTAGTAAAATTTGCTTATTAACTTTGCATGTAGACAAGTAAATTATGTCTTTTAATGTTCGTCTAGAAGGACTCCCGGTTCTTTGTGAAGGAAAGGAAGGGATATAAAGAACTAAGCAACGATAAAACGTCAATCCGCTCTCACGATTTGCGCGTCCACTATTGATCGACGTTCACAAATTGTATAAATAAGGCTTGTAATTGATCAAAAGAAGCTTACTTGGCAATTCGCCGGGATCGGCTGGTGTTAATACGATGCTGATAATACCGACTATCCGATTATTTTGTCTTTCGTGATCGATCGCCGCGGCGCGCAATTTTACATAACGCGCATCAACCTTTTTTTTCCTCTCTATGCACTCGCGTACGGCTTCGTTTGTCCAGCTCGCCTTCGTCGACGAGTTAGCATCATCGAACTACCCACGGAACGATGTAAATCAGATCGTGTTTCAGATAACCCCGTGCAAACGATGCAGCTGCGCGCGCGCAAGTTCGTTTACATGCGTTTATTTTCCAGTCGCATAGTTGATAAAAAGCACTGCTGTCTATAAAAGCCATATCGTCGATCATGTAGAACTATTTTAATTGCAAGAAAACAAAAAAAAAAAACGCAGAAGATTTCGGCTATTCATACAGTAATCATCGAAAAGCCTTTTAAACGCTAATTGTACGTCATATTACATAACATCGCAAAATTTTGAAACACGACACCGAACAATTACCTTGTACTTGCATGAGAAATAAAGAGAGTTGATCTCGGATTTCTCTGTTCATTTTAGTTGGTTCTGCTAGATTCCGGAAGTGTAGGAAATGAGTATTTAAAAAAGGAACAGGCAAAGCACTCTTTTTATTACAAAGAGAGCTTATATGTAAGCTCGCGCTAATGAAATAACTTTTTAAACTATTTTCGTAACGTTTTAAAATAGATCAGCTAATTATTTCCAACTATATTAACGTATTAACGAAATTATTCCACCTCTAACAATATTTTAGCGTTAACCGCAGTGTATTTTCAGCAAAACATAATTTTTAAGAGTTATATGTGAATAAATCCTGGAATCAAATAGGATTCTGAAATTAGATTCAATGTGAATTTGTAAATGTGAAGTGAGAAAACGGGCTGACGCGTCAATGATCAATTCGTTTAACTACTTTATTTAACTACTTTGAATCGATATAGAACATGTTCTCCGAATTTTGTATGAGAGGATGTAAAACATTAATTCCTTTATTCCGAAACTATAACTTGCAACTAACGTTGCGATGATTATTCTCGTTTCATATTAATGAATTGATAATGCATTTAAAGGGGACTTTGCAATCTAATTACCTTATTCGACATATGTTATAATTACACGATACCATCTGTTATATCTGTTCGAAGCACACAAGTTACTTTATATATTTGATATAACTATTTGCGGAACGGGAATTACTTTTCATTTCGTAAGTTGTTACATAATTCACCGTATTAATCTCACACGAGTCAGTGAGCACGAGTCTCCGACGACTTTATTAATTGCTGGGTGAGATAGTTATCAAGTTCCGATCGTGTCGCTTTAGTGGACTATGGCGCGAATTAAATCCCAATTATATATCCGATATTCACGCTCCGCTCGCACGAACGTTGAAAATGCATTCGATAAACGCGAACCGCGACTCAGGATGTCGATAGCGAACAAAGGCTTTCGGCGCAGCAGTTCCTCGATTGCGTCCAAGTTGTAGCGTAAGCTGCAAGCTGTTCACTGAAAGCTGCGTATTAGCTTGCGGCATGTTTTCTCGTTGAACAATCGGGACTTAGCAAATGCGGGCAAAGAATATTCCAACTGTAGTCTACATATTATCGATGCGACAATGCTACACCGTTCAACAAAATTTAATTTTTATATTAATTCAATGAAATTTAATTTCAATATCTATAATTTTTACATAAAATAAACATGAATGATACCCCTTTTCTGTGTCTCTGTACACTTATGGCTCGCGATTCGCAAATTTTTATGTCATTTCAGGATGCAATCTGTTAGAGATAGGAATCTATTTTGTTATATACACATCGATGAGAAGAGTAGTATTGTTTATGCGAATGAAAAATGAATAATGAATGAAAGATTGAAGGACATTGTAAAAAATCGTATTGATTCCAATTGACGTCAGGCAAGAGATAAAAATATGATTTCGTGTACAACGCGCCACGTTTGCAGATAAGAGTGCAAATTCATCTTACCATATGTAACACGTGTAATCTGCTTCGAGCGATGTAACATATCGCAGGATTGCCAATTACACGGGCTGGACCGATATATCGGTTTTACAAATTACTTGAAGACCCGGTCTGCGGTATCTAGTTATCTAAATATATGCTGATTGAGTTACGACGTGCATATCAGTAATAACGTATATCTGTACGCGTTGAGTAATACACGCTTTAAATGTATCGGATGAGCAGTCTTGTTTGCCTGAGTGTGTTTTATTGGCTTTGCATATTTAGCTGGCGGAGATGTTTGCCTTATATTGCATCAACATGAAGAGTTGCATAACGCGCAATGCATAGATAGTCGCCACTTATTAGCGAGATATTTACGCCAGAAAAGTCCAAGTTTGAAAAAAAACGTAAAGGATGAAAGGAAAGATGTCGTGTTTAACATGCGGACTGTCGAATCGGTGTCATTTCGCTGTCGATATCGTGTTCGATCGCCGTTTTCCGCTTTAGTTTTAATTGCGCTTTAGAATTGCATAATGCGCTCACCTTGACTTCGTGCTAATGTATCGGAGCCCTTGAACGGCTACACCGCTTCGTTTAAAATGCTCCTCCACGTCGAAGGCGTTCGAAAGTTTTTATAATCTTGTCCGATCATTCGGAGTAAGGTTTCGGTTACATGAAAAAAAATCACATTATGATACAATTTATGATTGTTACCAAA